TTTTTCCATGAGTCCTGCGTTGTGATAAGTTCCCGATGTTAGAACTAGTAAAACTTCAGTCCGATGTTGTTTTACTAAGAAATCTATAAAATTATTTATGAGTTCTACCGTAGAACTGCTCTCAAGGACTAGTGGGAACAAACTGCTACTTCATCAACGACAACAGTCTTTCAAGTGCCATATATATTGTTAAGCCTTTACTGTCTGCTTAAAAAAGCAAGTAACTTGCGCATTCACCACCAAGGTTTTATTCCCGCTTCTAGACCAGCATGATAGAACATGGTTTTATAGAGATTGGCGCAAGAGTAATCACTCTATCAGAAGATGTTGTAATTATTGAAAATGGTTTGGAAGGTCAATCATATTTGATATTTGTGAACAAGACAGATGCAGAATGGGAACAGACAAGCAATGGAGCACGATACTCTGCAGGAACGTAAACATATGTAGTTTGAACAAAACAGTGCACCCTCACACACACCACGATATGGCATAGCCAGATGATCGCCTGATTTAACTGCACCAGACTTCTTTGTTTGAGTCTTTCTTGAAGTCTCGGGTATATGCGAACTGTAAATGTAAGCCCTTAAAGAGTAATTCGACAGTAATGCCAACAGTTATAACCGAAAATCATGGAAACTGCGATAAAACCGGCACAAATGATATCCGTGGATCGGGTAATTGCCTTAGCGCCACCTTGTAAAATAAAAATCGTTTGGTCATGTATTTTTTATTTCCAGACGATGCCTTCGATCCAGTCAAGATAGCTGGAGACCCTGGTGTAGATGCCGGGCAGGTTGGCTAGAGCGCAGCCGACACCGAATGACGTCACTCCGATGCATCTTGAGGCATCCGCCTAAAGGAGTGACCAACGTTGTAACTGTGAAAAAAATAAGCTCTATACTTACTGTATGGTACCACATCTTTACTCGCGTGATATAAAAAATTCTAAAGATTTTTTTACTAAAAAAAACAAGTGGTCAGGTCAAACAGGCATCAGACAGGATTCGAACCTTTTTTTTTGTTACGCAGGCAAAACCTCTGTATGCAGACGATGGCGACGGCGCCTTTAAGAGGCATACCGCCGAACGGACCTTACACCCTGCACCCGCAAACGTCACGGGCACGATGAGGCAAACCCCCAAAGTAACCCGCGCCATTTACGAGCACGCTTAACGGCGTACTATCCGCTAAAAAAACCTGCGAATACCCTCTAAGCTGCTTAGTGCGAAGCCGCGGGATCCCCGTTTAGGGATTCTAGCAGCCAAACGAAACATCGTTGGCTTTTGACGTTCATGGCTAAGTAAAGTAACGTAACCTTAAAATTTTGTATGAAAGAAGCTAGTTTGTTCTTACGTCCGGTAGTGGCGTTACTTAGTTTTCTTAGAAACTTCGATGATGCGGTTCGTTACGGAGCTGTCCAAAACTCGTGCTTGGGCCTTAGCTCTGGCCGATAGGTAGCGTGTAATCGGATTTTAGGATTTCATTATATGTTTGGGATATGTTACAATATTATTAAACGTGCTATCTTGCTATTTTAGACTCCATGCAGTTATGATTATACAAAAACTTTGATTTACTTCCTTTTTTAGGGTCCCTTATATGTAACGGCAAACACGGAACTCTTGTAGGTATACTTCGGTGGTCAGTTTGTCTGTCGCAATCGATTCTCAATCAATCAAGTTGAAATTTGGTACACACATATCTGTGTCCCAAGCTTGGACGAGTAAAGTAAATAAATAAATTCCTAACATTTATGTGTATTATACCTATTTTGGGTTGCAATTAAAAAAAACTTATTTGAAAAAAATCATTTAAACATACAAATATTAGTGCGGGTAGATTAACATTACATTATTTTAATTTAAATAAAATATGCTAGGCGTTCATTTAAGTTGTTGGAGCCCACTTTTGGATCCCAGATTAATATTTTGGCATTGGATCCCCTTTGTTCCCAACGAGTCACACTGTAACCTGTTACACTGTGACTCGTTGGGAGAACTTCGTAAAATAATTCCCAACCAGTCACACATGTGACATGTTGGGAGACCTTTCTAAATATAATTTCCAACCAGTCACACTGTGACACGTTGGGCGACCCTTTCGAAATTATTCCCAATCAGACACACTGTGAATCGTTAGACCAATCTACTCTTAGGTTTTGGTTAGATTACGTCTGTATGTATGTCTGAGGTGTATGTTACATCTTAGCCCTAATTTCACTAAATAATCAGCTACACTGCTACTTTTTGCTATAATAAAAGGAAGGCAACATTTTTGACGTGACAACGTCTTAAATTAGGTTGCGGCTGGGAGTCACTTATGAAAAAGTGTAACGCTCGGTAACGTTACGATGAGTCTCTCGTGTTAAGTTTAAGTTTACATGTACAATGTTTTAGTAAACAAAATATATTTCTATAGTTAAAATTTGTGCAATTCTTATTTTCATTCAATTCCTTGTTCCTATTGTGCAATTTAATTATATTCATATCAATAAATATTCTACCGAGAAAAAGACGTTGTCACGTAAAATCTTCGCCCGTAAAACCGACTTTACAGGCAACCATTTTTTTTTTCCTATTATTGCTTACGATAAATTCGTGTTTGGTGCTAATTCCAGGTTATTGAAATATTAGCTCCTTACATATGAAATTAGCGTTTTGTCGTACTGACCACTTTGATCTGAAATATCTTCTCTTTGGTTAAGAATTCCAAATTCAAATTTATAAATACATTTAACTGGTACATTTGAGTTTTAAAAACAGTCTCTCATTTGGTTTTTTCCTCATTATATTTTTCTTTGGCGTCGCTTATTATCGCCCAAATGGAAAATATGAAATATTGGTATATTTACGAGTACGAGTTCTACCGTGGCACCAGTGCTGCAGAAACAGCTCGAAGGATTAATGATGTGTACGGCGCTGATGTCGCAAAAAAAGCACGGTACGTTTTTAGTTTCAACGTTTTCGTTTTGGAAATTTCGACCTTCAGAACCAACGCCGTGGACGGCCGGAGGCCAAAGTGGAAAATGAAGAATTAAAGGCTATTGTGGAAGCGGATCCATCACAAAGCACTTCAGAGATAGCTGCAGGCTTCGGGGTAAGTGACAAAACTGTATTAATCCACTTGAAGCAAATTGGGAAAGTAAAAAAACTTGAATGGTGGGTACCTCATGAATTAAGGGAATCGAACTTGAAAACATGCGTCGACTGCTGTGTTACTTTGCTCAACCGACACAATAATGATGGGATTTTAAATCGAATCATTACTTGTGATGAAAAGTGGATACTGTTTGATAATCGGAAGCGGTCGTCGCAATGGCTGAACCCTAAAGACCCAGCCAAAGCCTGCCCTAAACAAAAATTGACTCAGAAAAAGTTACTTGTGAGTGTTTGGTGGACTAGCGCCGGCGTCGTTCACTACAGCTTTCTAAAATCTGGCCAAACGATGTATATATATACGGCAGATATCTATTGCCAACAACTGCAAAGCATGAAGGCAGAACTAGCTGCTAAACAACCGATATTGGTCAATCGCTCTAGGCCACTGCTGCTCCACGACAACGCAAGACCACACACTGCATAACAAGCAACCACTAAGTTAGATGAGCTACAATTGGAATGTCTGCGACATTCACCGTACTCCCCGGACCTTGCTCCAACAGATTACCTTTTTTCCGAAATTTGGACAACTTTTTACAAGGGACAAAATTTAACTCCGATGGGGCAGTCCAAACCGCCTTAAAAGAGTTTATTGATTCTCGCCCCCATGATTTTTTCAGAAAAAGGATCAATAAACTACCTATGAGATGGCAAAAGTGCCACCTATGAGATGGCATACGGTGCATACTTTGATTAATTAAATATAGTGTATAAAAAGAAATTTACTTTATATTCCTCCCGTACAAAACGCCTGGAATTCAAAAGTCATATGTAAGGACCTAATATTTTAACAGGTAATCAAAAGGTCAGAGTATAGATTTATAGGCTATCAAGATTAACAGGAATATTACGAGGAAAAATTGAATAGAATCTTTGAGTCAAAGATTGGATAAGAGGTTTCACCTATATAAATAGAGTCCAAAATAGAATGAACATGTAACAGTATAGTAATATACGTTCTTTTCGGGATTGTTACCATGTACCTTGTTTAAAAACAAGCGCCATGATCACGGAGTAACCAGTTACTCCGTGATCTTGGTGCTTGCAACAGCGCCGAAATATCGGAAAGCCGCTAAAAACAAAGTACATGGTAACAATCCCGTAAATAACTTATATAACTATAATGTTAGTGACCATGAAAGTTTAAAACAATTATGTAACAGAATACCTATCAGCAGATTGGCCTAACGAGTCAGAGTGTGACTGGTAGGGAATGGTTTAAGAAAGGTCTACCAGCGTGTCACAGTGTGGTGTGACTGGTTGGGAATTATTTAAGATAGATCTCCCAACGTCTTACAGTGTGACTAGTTGGGCATTATTTTACAAAAGTTTTCCCAACGAGTCACAGTGTTACAGCTCAGAAAGTATTGATTTATTCTAAAAACTTTATGTAACAAATTTTGCTTAGAATTTGTCTCTCTATCGATTCCTGGAGTTATTTTTATTAAAATAATTTTTACCCCCGAGAAGGGGTGGCATCTACCCCCAGGGCAAAAGCGCACTATGTCACTTTTGTTTCTTAAAGTATCCCCCACCTACTCACCAAATTTTATAAAAATCAATGGAGGTTCAACGAAATCGAAGGTGAAAATCTTCATTGACTGGACTATAACCCCAAAAGAGGGTTTATTCCTAAGAAACATTATTAGTGCACCTCTAAACCATCTATAGATCATTCATGTTTTTCAAGTCTCTTACTTGAAAAATAAATGGGTGCGTGTACTTAAGTACGCGCGTGAGAAGTTATACTTCTTTTTGGAATTATTAAAAAATAGTTTTTAATTGCATGCAGATAATTAATTACAATAAGATAATAAAAAGATTGGAAAAGGATAGTCAACGCAGTCAATAAAGTTCAGTTTTAATTTGAAAAATTTAATAAATAATCAAAATATTCAATTTAAATCACTAGTGAATAAAATTTATTAGCACATATAAATTTCGCATTTGTATAACATTATAACACGTGTTAAGAATATAGAAACTAGAAACATGTGGATAAATATTATAAATATGAAAACAGTGATCAGAGGCGACGAGCGTCCCAACATGTGCGACTAAGAGATCCTATTACTATTTTGTTGGAAGCTTTTTTTTCGAGACTTACGAGTAATGTGCGGTTTAGCGGCCGACTTCATGGTGTTACTTTTCCGTTACAGTGTTGCGCGCGCATCTTAAAATTTCACTCTCATCATTTTTTTCATAACGCGCCCGCGGCTAACTTCATTATGTTACTTTTGTGTTATAGTGATGCGCGCGCATCTTAAAATTTCACTCTCATAATTTTTTCATAACGCGGCTAAAGAAGTATAACTTCAACAAAGTACTTTCATACAAACTTCCAAGCCCCGTATTACCCCCTTAGGGGTGGAGTTCCGTAATAATATGTAGCCTATATTGACGCGACTTCTTAATAATATTCATGCCAAGTTTAAAGTAAATCCATGCCGTACTTTTTGAGTTTATCCCGGACATAGATACAGACAAAGAGACAAAAATAAAAAATAAATTCTAAAAAGTATATTTTTGGCTTCGGTATCGATAGTAGATCACACCCCAAGTATTCTTTTAAAAAAATATTCAATGTACAGTTTTGACTTTCCTACCATTTATTATATTTATAGATGATTAAGTAAATGAGCACCTATATAAGTACAGGTATCCTCATCATAGTCAACAGTCTACAGAGTGACTCGGACGTGATTCCAGGTTTTAAACAGCAGGTCCCAGACGAATATATTATAAAAAGTAGCCGTTGGCAATCAAGATGAAGACTGCATTAATATTCACTGTTTTGATAGGTAAGCATTTTTATTTTTATTATGTACGTATTATGATTAAATTTTCCCTTTAACAATTTATCTAAATTAGAATAATGTTAAACGCATTTAAGCGAGTCCGTGAAATTTACTTTCATAATCTGTACAAATCACCATGAATTCACTGTTTTTATCAAATTGTGGCCATTAATAAGATGTTATATCTTAAGAACCTTAGCTGCTTACGTTTATTTAAAGTAAACGTTCATGGATATCGGTCTCTATATAGAATCATATGGCTTGGCCCAAGGAATAATTCAAGTTTAATTATTTATAACTTTTTCTATAATATTACAGTCTAATCCGATACACAAATAGGTGCCTACTACAATTATTATAAGTAGTATTATATTATCTGTAGTCCCCATAGATTTAAAACTCATATCATGGACTTAAAAGCATTTAAAGAAACTAGAAAAATTCCACGCGGTCCAGATAGCAGACGGTACTTAACCCTCGGACGGATGCACTGGCCAAATGCTACCGCGATCAATTCATTCTAGCAGTGCAATCTCTACGCATTGTAGGTAACCCACAATGGACCGGGTAGATTTTTCCTAGTAAAAATTCAGTGTCATGGTGGGTCATGACCAAGAGTTATGACACGTTGTTCCTATTCCGTGAGTCATCGGTTTGTGCTGACGACTGTGGATGAGATAATACAGTTTTGGTCACCCATTCTATGACCTGCCATTGCTTTACTTCCACGGACGCGATAACGACTGCACCATCGGCCTTTCCAATCTGAAACCACGTTCACAAGTCTTTCTATATTAACCGTTGGAGTCGAATCTGTGACCTTCAGAGGTCATTATCGATATTTTTTTGTACTTTATTGCAAAAAATCTATATATTATATAAATACATAAAGTATACAAGAAATATCTTATTACAATAGCTTTAGCTCTCAACTTCGATTCCGTGGATTTCGGTCGTTATTATGTCCGTGTTAATAATATCTGTAAAGACTGTTTAATGTGTATGTGTCATTAAGTAACAAATAAAACCATTGTTTGAAAGCATTTAATTCTAAATTATTGTAATTACTTACCAATCATTAAATCTAAATCTGTTTCCTTTAGTCATGCTTTAACTTAACGACTTTATTAATTGTATCCATTTTTTTAAAGTTTTCTAATACTTTGTAGAAGCCATGGTAGAAGGTTTTTACCACATTTTACGGAAAAAAATAAGAAAGTTGCGTAGAAAAATTTAACTTACAACTGCCCGATAGGTGGCGCTGCAGTCAGTCTATTTTTTTTTACTGGACAGAAAATTTGGGTCCACTTGTGTGATATAAAAAAATATCCGAAATGATAACAGCATTCATTTTTTATTTACAGCGTGTCTGATCCAAGCAGGGCGGGCAAATGTAAGTACTAGTCTAAGGGCCCACGACACTAAACCCTAATGACGTGACTTATTATAACTATCTATATGAATTTAGATAACAAATGAAGGTGATTAGCACCTCTTTAGACATATGTTAAGCGATTGAGTCAATTCATTATTAATAATTATAATATTTTAAATACTTGTCTTATGAACAAAACATATTTTATTTATATGATGATGTGGTAACGTCGGTATGGTTTAAACTTATTTTGGTTTGATTTCAATTCCCTAATGACTAAGTTTTTTTTTCGTGACAGGAAGCGTGTTCTCCATTGTCAGTGTCATTGTCAGAACCAGACTTCAGAGCACCAGGTCGTCGATTAAGCGAAGAATGTAAGAAATCTTTATTTTTATACAAGACGCAACAAATTTTCTCATCCCAAGTCCAGCCGTGAATATAACTTAATGCGACCTTGCTGGCCTGAATCTAGCCCAATCCCCTCTCCGTGGAGCCCTAAAACCTCATTTACCAATAGAAAAAGTGTTTCTGTTGGTAAATAAGGCTACCAAAAAAGTGTTTTTTAGTTATAATTTTAATATTAAAGCATGTATGTAACTGTTCGATGTTGAAATCTAAAGAAAATGTTACTAGAAAAAATTACACGCGGACCAGGCAGCAGATAGGACTCAACCCCCCCCCCCCCCCCCCCGACGGTATCCGGGCAAATAAATTGACTAAGTAAGAAAATTAAGGCGCGGTAGCAAATTGGTCAGTGCATTCGCCCGGATACCGAAGGGTGCGAGTTTGAGTCCCGTCTGCTGCCTGATCCGAGTACGATATCAACAGCTGTAATAGTAAACAGAACATTTAACCCAAAAAATGGAAGTAGTAAGTATACATAGTTTTATTATTAACTGTGGTCATTTGTAACGAAGAGGTTACTTCCGTTAATACTATGAAATAATACTGAATAACTAACTATAACTTTAATAATTTATTGGTACCATCTTTAGTTTGTTTCCCATGGTTTATTTGTAAAAGAACATTATTTTAATTTTTTACGTTCTAAACAAATTTTTTGACAAATGATATTAACCCAAAAAGCACAAAAATAAATGTCTTACTTTTATTTCAGGGTGCCGCGAATACAATTGGGAGAGAAAATGTTCATCTGGCCAGGGTAAGCAGCAACATTAAATTTTTTAGATGATTTACATTCTTAGTTTTGAGTTGTGCGAGTGTAAGAAAGAAATATTTCTAACACTTACACCAATTAGCCTAGCCCCAAAGTAAGCACTGTAAGGCTTGTGTTATGGGATAGGTACATGGTAACGGATATAAATACATAACAATGATACATATATAGGTAAGTGTATTTGAATGTTTTAATGAAACTTCGTGGGATTGTTGGGTTGCGTATATAGAGTATCTCTGATTTTTTTTCGGATTTTTTAAAAGTACTTATTACGTTTCTCAGTTTACCGTGTTAATTAAGTTAACGTAAAAAAATATATGGCCGTTTATGTTGTGTTTCGACAAATTTGTACGGAACCCTCGGTGGGCAAGTCCGACTCGCACTTGTTCTTTTTTTATATATCAATTGATTTTTGGTCTTTGGAGATGGATTAATTTTTGATGACGGACAATTTGTTTTTTTTTTTCAGATGTCGAAATCAATGAACATCCTTATTTGGTAAGTATTTACTTTGGATAATATAAAGCTCCACTTGTAGAGAACTTTATTATTTTATTTGTTGACATCCTTTCCGAACAGATATAGTTGCTTGAATAAGCTAATTGAAAAGTAATCGAATCGGATGTAGAAAAATAGTAGTTAAATGTCTAGATGAAAAAAATGAGATTTTATGAAACCACAATGTCAGTGAAACTTTTAAAAACAGTAATAAAAAAGTCCTTCTCGGCTGGGATTCGAAACCAGACCGCGCACGCAATAGACTAGCCTTCTATCACTGAACCACCGATGATTGTTGATTAGATCAGATTTATAATAACAATTAGATATGTAATGCCACATGCTAAAGTTGATCGAAAATAAATTGTGACGATATAATAAGTTTCCTTTCAAAAATCATACTTAATAAAATATAATTTTGTCAGGGTGCCATCGCATACAGGAAAGAGAATGGAGATTTGATTTTTGCATGCGCAGCAACCCTCATCAGTCCAAAGTTCGCAGTGACTGCTGGACACTGTTTGCGGAGCATTAATGGGATGACTCCTGAGTTCGTCAGATTCGGCAACAAGAACATTACATCTGTAAGTGCCTGTCTAAAAATCTAATTTTCATCCCCCATCTCGGAAAGAATATTTTTGCTCCTCGATGTCTGAGTGAAAAATCCGTTTTTATCCGCTAGAGGATAAAGTAAATTGTATTTAGAATATCGTGTGCACTAAGTTTGTCCATTGTAAACATCATTAAACCTATTTACCTACTACTGTCTCCATGGTGCCAAATTCATCATACAATACTCTTTTAATTTGTTAAATCTCAATCTCAATCTCGGTATCCGTTTTTGTATTTTTGTGTATTTTATTTAATTTATAAAAACATTAATATTGTTAAAACCTTAGGTTAAAAACAAGAAACTTGTAACAAGTAAATACCTAAAATGAGTAATCCAATCGAATACGTAACAATTGTGGAGAAATATCAATCCTTACACCCTAACACTCACACACAGAGAGGTGGGATGAAAATTTACGTGTTGCACTTGAGTTTTAAGATTTTTCTCCTCCTGCTTTTTGGTTCCCTCGCTAATGCTGAGAATTCTAATTTTAGAATCCTTCGCTTGCTCAGTCATCAAAAATTTAGCACGCGGTTAAAAAGCAATTTTGTACTCTTGTATAACAAATAATTACTGTCACATTTTTGTTTCCTAGGTTTTCACGCACACCACTCATTAAATAAAACATGTTTCAACGATCTAGATGCACTGAATTATTTGTTTATTGACGTTTCGCATCTTTTTCAGGCTGCGTCGTCAGAATAATCAGTCAATAAATAAATAAATCAGTCCATCATCAACAAATAAACAAATCAGTGCATCTATACCGTTGTAACTTGTTTTATTTAACTATTGTCACCTCAGAAACCCACGATACTGTGGTTTTTTAACTATTATATAATTTTCGTCTATTTTGTAGTATGGTCAAATGTTCGTATTGTATGGGTATTTACTTAATTACCAGTAGTATTGCAATTGTTTTTCCCAAAAAGCGAACGTTGTAGCGTCATTAGTAGATAGGTAGATGGACTGGTAGACAATGTACAGGTGTAAAAAAAACGTTTAACGAAGTCGAAGGCCACGTATTTTCCACATCACGACGATATTTTTTTCTTCTGGACCATACCTGGGAACGGACATCGATTCCGAACACAACTAGCATTTTCTCATTGTTGGGCGTTCTAGGGCATTCAATGTATAGGGAACGAGGAATGTCCTTTATGGTTATGGTGATATTGAAGGTCAATTTTTGTCTCAATTTTTTTTCAAGATTTCTAGATTAAATTTGTCAAAACGTTATTTAGAAACTTTTTTATCGACGCACTTACACACACGCACACACAAACACAGGCACACTCTTTGCGTAGCGCCACAGTAGCGCGCCGCGCTATACATTGCGTACTGTTTTTTTTTAACTTAAAAATACATGCGTACTTTGAGTGTTTGTCATAGGTTTTTTTACACCTGTACACTGGTATAATATATATATATATATATATATATATATACTTTATAAAAATTATATGTTTTCTCTGTAAATTAATGCTGTTATTTCCCCAATAATAAATCAATAAAATGCGAAAGTGTGTTTGCCTGTCCGTCTACTCATGCTTAAACCGCTCTGAACCGATTTAAATGATATTTGGTAAGGAGATAGTTTGAGTCCCGGGAAAGGACATAAGATTGTTTCTATCCTAGAAATCATCGTTTAATTCTTTCACTCAGACGACAACGTAGCCAGCCATACCTACCGTGCGTAGGTAGGTACTCAATTCCGATCATAAAAAAAGAATTCTATTAATATTAATTAGCGGCTAGTTCTGGTATTTATTTCATAGATATTGATTATTATTTTTTATATTACAGGAGACAGTTATTGACGCCAAAATCGACAGAAAAATTTTTCACCCACAATATACTCATCCCAAACGTAAAAATGATATAGGCCTTTTGGAGTTTGAGAATAGATTGCCCGTGAACAAGGCCGTCACACCCGCTTGTCTCTGGTCGCAGGAGATTGGCAGTGACGCTGCAAAGGTGTCAGCTTGGGCAACCACGCGTATGAGCTTCATTTTATTTTACCTAAATACTGTTACGTCCCTAAGAGTTAGTGATAGGAGCTCGATGACGCAAGTGGTTAACGCGTTTACCTGCGATCATTGAAGTTATGATTCTTTCGCAGCAGTCGGTCATTGGATGGGTGACGAAAAAATTTACTATCTTGTAACGTACCTTAATATGGTTTCGACTCATGGTTTCGATTATCATAGGTTCCATTTCGCACATTTTATCATATAACATCATCGATATTCATCAGTCATCATCATATATTTTATCATTTATTCCTGGAAACACATAATTTCAAAAATATCACACACTATTCATCACTTTGTAAATACGTATAATAATTTCTTCTGTACTGAAAATCACTATTCCAGAGTGCTGGACACTTACCGGCATTTCTCTTTATTCTGTTATTTACTTGTTTTCACTTATTATGCTTTGATTTTATCTATATTTAATTTATTTATTTTATTGACATTTTATGACAACCTAATGTTTTTTATCCGTTGCCATGGCTACCCATGACACGGATACTCTCTCCAACTACGTCTATGACTATTCAACCTCCACAGACCACTTACTTTGATTCTTTTTGGCTCGATTCGAACCGTGTCTAAATTCAAATGGTTCCGGACCTATAAAAGGCCGAGCCTCCCTGATCATTTATTCAATTCTACGGCAAAAGTTGCCTACTCAACTTTTGAAAGCTCGCTACCGAGCTCTAAATTAATAAAAGGCCTTGTCCCGGGGCCGACTGCCCCGGGACTCAAGAAAGACCTCAAAGCTTTTTAGCACCTATTGGCTCTTTAAACAACTTCCTAACTCCAATACTATACTACTATACACGTTCTCGCAACCTCATCGGTGGGACTGCGCCTGGTCTCCAGCTTCTTCGGCCAGCCTCCAGCTGCTTCAGCCCGCCTTCTACCGACTCCTGCCGTTTCTTCAACGCCCGCCTCTGGCCGATATACGCCGGCCAAACTACCAGCAGCGCCGCCAGCAACCACCAGGGGAGGCCAAGATCTAAGACGGCTGCACAGGAGCGCTTCTGCCTCCAAGGAGCGCCGCGCCGTCCATCTACCTGTAGCACGCCCTACCGTTCAAGCCGCCCCTGAAGATCGCCGACGACCCACGCCCTACCGTTCAAGCCGCCCCTGAAGATCGCCGACGACCCACGCCCACTTCACAACTCACACTACATACACACATATTCCATATTTTTTTTTAATAATCTGTAAATAGTACTTTATCTTGTAAATATATATTCCTATACTGTTCTTTTGATTTTTTTTTCTTCCTTCCTATCTAGTTTTATTTTGTTGCTACACAACAATCTCGAGCTCCTCCGTGATTCGGAAGGCCGTTCAGCCTTTGGTCCCGGCTGCATCTGCAGTCACCATCCGCACTGGGCCCGCGTGGAGTGCCTGTGCCCCAACAATGAGGATATTAATAGGCTAATGATGATGAATGTTAAGTAAGGCTGTATTATTGTATGGCCCCTTTACATGTTGGATCATCTTTGCGGCCAACAACGGTTTGGAAAGTATTGGAGTGATAGTCCGCTCAATTGTCACAGATGCGTGCACTGTCGTTTTTTTTAGCTGGCCGTTTACATTGGGGTAAGGTGCTATATAAAATGTTTTTTTTTTCACTAATATATAAGACAGAATAAGATCACCCAATTATAAATAACTTGAGGCGACGTTAAACACTTTAAAAGTTTCACTTGAATCGTGGTTTCAGAAAACCTCATCCATTTTTTTATACTTTATTCATGTTTCCTAGATTTTTTTTTATATTATTATTATATCGTTATAATATCATTCACAGGTGGCAACAAATCACCTGACGTTCTGAGAACTATGACAGTGCAAATAATGGACTCCGAATCTTGTGAGAAGGCCGCAATTCCATATTTTAACAGACATTTCCGCAAGTTAGAGGGTTACCTTTGCGTCAACGATTCATCCGATCCTAACGAGTACTTTTCTGAAGTAAGTCAAGAAAATCTTTAATTTCAGATGCGATTTAGTTATTTTATTGGTAATGACCTGCTAGCTTAATGTTATTATATCTGTTTCCAACCTTTTTATCAGAAGCTGTTGGCCTTATACAAAATCTATAATAAAAGGTAGCCGTTTCTGACTGATCTATCAACTCATAGTTCAAACTACTGAATGGATTTCGCCGAAATTCGGCACACACATAGTTACGAGTATAATGATGATATAGGCGAGCGCTAAGAAAGTACTTGACGACTTCCGCGACCGAATGGTTTGTACGTCGGATTTCATGGTGTCACCGACTCGAAGGGTACCTGGTTCGAATCCCGGTGGGGGCAGATGTTTGTGTGATGAATACGAGCATTTGTACTCCAGTCGTGTTTAATACGTATTTCTATATAAATATACTTACATTATGAACACTATATGACTGTATTATATCCGTTACCCAAGCATCCCATAAGACAAGCCTTTTGCTTACTTTGGGGTAAGGCTCATTGTGTGTGTGTAGTGTGTGTTGCAAATATTTATTTCCAACATACACTCACTATAAAAGGATAAAATAGGGGTTCAAAAGTTAAAGTTCTCTAGTAAATTCATATTAGCTTACTTACCTAATGCAACTGTTTGTTTGTAACGCTTTCATGCTTTTAACACTCAATAGATTATGCTGAATTTTGTAATAGAGATAATGTATAGAGATCAGTGCATCCGCCTGGACAATGGGAGGCCCAGGCATATTTCACCAAGTCGACATAATATGTGACTGACTTAACTAACATTTTGGTACGATGGTCCGGATTTTATTTTAACGACAATGATGTAGTGAAACGAGGGTAATTTTTTAAGTCGACATATTTTTCTAATTGTCAGTAATTCTTGAACTGAAATCGGGCTGTGTAAGATTTGCATTACAATTGTATTGTTTACGTTGTTAGTTTCAAAATGGCAAAAGCTTGAAAAGATGAATTCTTATAGAGGAGATTTTAAAAGAACAAATAAATCCTTTTGTATCACTGGTTTTGCGTTCAAACTTTGATATAATAGATCTCCCCAAAACAAACCATCGGCTTACAAATTTCAGCGACTTCTGTCGATTTGGTGAAATAGTGTTAGCACTGGTCAGGTTAAGTGAAGTAGGATTGTATTAAATTATAGCAGTATTCTGTTTGGTTTATAAAGCTAAACGACGGATTTTTTAAGTGAAATTTTCTTTAGATTATAAGCAGACTGTTATAGACTGTAGACGCCTTCCTCACTGGATTGATACGGGCTTGTTTCGTTTTCATTTCTGTACCGAATCTATACAGATTCTTTACCGAGACCACTTCTTGACCGGCTCGGTTTTGGTGCGGTATCGTTTTGCTTCGAATGGTTCGGTAGCAATCGGTACAGAGGGCTGTGAATCCGCTCGGTAAAGATTCTGTACCGAAACTACTCAGTGAGTAAGCTCTCATTTTATTATAATATGCACTCGGCAAAAAATATGTTCAGGGCACAGAAACCAGGTGAGGTAGACGATATATGTAAAAAAACATTAATTGGTATCGTATTTCTCAGGGGTCTTCTGGAGCGCCAATAGTTGTCTCAGCACCTGTCGCCGAAGGAGAAGACATGTCGTACGTTAAAGCCTTCGCTACGTTTGGCTCCCTGTATAGACTTGGCGGCATTACCTTTTACACCAAGATTCCCAATTACATCGATTGGATCGAACAACAAGTGTGGGGAATAACTCTATTTTAAGATGAAATAAAAATGTTATTTTGACAGAATGATATTCCTCATTGCCACCAGTGGTGGTGTATCTTATGTCATAACACATTAATTTTGTATGATGTTACCAACGAAAACCCGATTTTCACATAACCGGTTTATCTTCTTTTGATTATTGAATTTTTAGTTTCATACCAAAGTGCATAGTAAGAAAAACACAGAAAAAAACACGCATTAAGGTGTGGTATTAAAGTAACAATCGTTCCAACGACAAATAAATATATCTATCTGAGAGAGAGTGAGAGAGAGAACTATTTTATTGACCAATAAAAAACACAAGTCTTATCATATAAACAGCGGAAATAAAAAAACAAATATAAAAAGTAACCAGTACAAACATTTGTAAACTTAGCAAAGTTTCAATATTGGCCATTCAAGACCCTACCACAGCATAATGTTGCCGTGGCATGTAACAAAAAGCATTCAGGCAGTGCATTTATGGTACATGGTGTTTCGGTAAACAAATAAATTATGGAATAACAATCTATCTACCTATCCTTTATATAAAACCAAAAACTTGCAAAATTCTATTATTCCACGAAATTAGTAAGATTTTACTTTCAAACACACCATTGGAAAAGTTTTCAACTCAAATGCAGTAAACTTATTGCAGATGTGGAACATAGACTGGCTGGAATGCTATTATTCCTTATGTCACAAGAACAAATCGTATGCGCCAATATTGTTTGCAAATGGCAGCGCCGCAAATAAGTTCTTATTATGGAATAACCAGAGGAGTAATATTCCTCTGGTTCATTAACTAATTTATTCTTGAGAAAGTCCCGGTTATCCGGGAGTAGTCGGCAAGAAATAAAACTAATGGCGTCGAGAACACGAGAGCTAGGAACAACGGTGGCGGAAGTCACAGGACTTAGAGGTGGCGGTTATGGTGTTCCTTCTTCCGAGATGTTGTACGTCCAAAATCCTGAATCGTTATAATAGAAGATCCCAAGCGCGGTTTTGGGATCTTCGAGTAAATCCGCGCGGCAGAATAAGGGTGGCAACCTTGCACCTTGTGAAGTACTCCCATAATACCTGAGCCCTATAATGTCTAGGGCAGCAAAAAATGTTGTACAATGGCTTTTGTCATCAGTCTTTTGAATCGCAGATGTTGGAGGGTTCTCTCGGGAGGAGGAAGAACTCACGCCAAAAGCTAACAAATTTACAAAATACGTTTGTCCATAACGTGAAAATGTCGTGTGTAAATCTAAAGAGCTATAGTTGAGTATGTTTTCTGTAGTTGACTAATCATTGTCAAATATTATACCTTCATCATAAGTGACGAAAATGCTGCTATATGCAAAGAAGAAGCTAACGAACGAAGAGATATACTTACGAACTTTTAAACAAACTGTTTTGACGCACAAACAATATACAATTGTAAATGTATTGGGCGGCAACAGTCTTTATACCTATTTCTTTAAATTTATACCTAAGAGAAGTTCGAGATCCCAAGCGGTAAATAGCTCTTATAGCTACGATAACCAATTTGGCTTTAAAATGGGTTTATCTACAGAGGCTGCAATATTGACTTTTAAGCAGACCGTGAAGTATTACACACACCGTAATACAGCCTTTTATGCTTGCTTACTCGACCTGTCGAAAGCGTTTGACCTTATTAGCTATGACATCTTATGGCAAAAGCTTGCCAATATTTCAATGCCACGTGACCTTGTGATCTCTAACTTGAAATCTCTTGATAACATTCCATCAACAAAACGCAATGGTATGCCTTTGAAGAGAGTAGAGCTATTTAAATATCTTGGAAACTTCGTCCCTTCCCCTTCGTTAATTGGTTAATTGGTTTGGATGGATCACAGTTACGCTTGTGAGAATTAGTCGTGATTAATAATGTTTTGTAATTTTGAAAATCTTCATCGGTGACAACATTTAAATCAGGATTCTTTTTGAATAATAATTCGGTCAACCCAAGAGTTTTGCTGAATTTTTGACTACCAATATCTAAATTATTGCCATCGTCATGTACACGGATTTTACCGAGCATGAGTTTACCTCTTTCATGTCTAATTCGAAATGGAATATTAGGCATTCCTTCCGATGATGTAGACCATGACAATGAGTAGTTTTTTACACTTGGCGAAGATTGCAAAGATTTAAATGAATTCGCACTCACATCATGATCTTCACTTGGTGATGTAGTGAGTGTTTTGTCCAAGAATGTGTTATTTGTCTTTCGATTCTTCACTGTTTGAATCAGCCAAATCGTCACTTGAAGAGTACGAGGATTCATTGTTATCAATTTATTTTTTTTCTTTCATCATTCTAATTAGCTATCACATTTAACGGATCAACAATAGGTTTAAATAATGTCTCCAATGCCATAGTATTTATTTTTTGCATCTTTGATTAATTTAAGTTTTCTTTTTACAGCTTCTGCAGACTTTACAATTTCTCGTTATAAATCTTTTTCCGTCATCATAGGTTTACGTTGTTCAGAATCCGGTAAGAAAATGATTGAATAATATTACTACAAAGTATTATGTATGTTAAGATGAAATAAAATGTTATTTTGACAGAATGATATTCCTCATTGCCACCAGTGGTGGTGTATCTTATGTCATAACACATTAATTTAGTACGATGGTTCCTATGGAAACCTTTGTTTTCGAGCCCGATTTGCATGTAACCCTTTTTTTTCTTTTGATTATTGAAATTTTGAGTTAGACCAATGAGTTATCTGAAAAGTGCATAGTAAGAAAAAGACCAGGAAAAACACACGTTAAGATTATTATTATAGTAACAATTGTTCCAACGACAAATAAATATATCCATTTGAGAGAGAGCGAGAGAGAGAGAAAGAGAACCATTTTATTGACCAACAGTGTTGACAGGTCTCCAGATTTTACAGGAGATCTCCTGTTTTTCTTAAAATACGATTTTCTTTTTTAAATTGCATGTGGAGTTGCATTTTCGGCCATTAATAATATACGTAACCTTATTAATTTTAAAATAAATGTTATTGTCTAAAAAAAACTAGCTTTATGGGACGGCAGAAGCCACAGAAACATAGTCGTTGTCGTTACTGGTCTTAAGTTTATCTTGATTTGATTTACCAATTCTAGGGGGGGGGGGGGGGGGGGGGTAACAAAAAATACGCCTCAGCATCTACTGTTTTTCTTGTAGCTCTTTCCATACATCTACTGTTTTTTTCTATAACGCCTCCCGATTTTAAAAAATTGGACCTGGCAACACTGTTGACCAATAAAAAAGACAAATTTAAATTATTACACTTATCACATAACCCGCGGAAATAAAAAATATATGTAAAAAGAAGCAGCACAAACATTATTTTATAAACTTAGCAAAGTTATAATATTGGCCAATCAGGACCCTGCCTCAGCATAATGCTGCCGTGACATGTAACTCAACGTGTCACGGCAACGCTGGTATTCTAACAGGGCCTGTAAGGTGCGCGATGTTTCGGTATACAAATATATTATGGAGTTACAATCTATCTATCTATCCTTTATATAAAACAACAACTTGTAAAATTCTATTGTTCTGCGGAATTAGTAAGATTTTACTTTCAAACACACCATTGGAAAAGTTTTCAACTTAAATGCAGTAAACTTATTGCAGATGTGAAACATAGACTGGCTGGAACGCTATTATTCCTTATGTCACAAGAACAAATCGTATGCGCCAATATTGTTTGCAGATGGCAGCGCCGCAAATAAGTTCTTATTATGAAATAACCAGAGGAGTAATACTCCAGAGGAGTAATACTCCTCTGGTTCATTAACTAATTTATTCTTGAGAAAGTCCCGGTTATCCGGGAGTAGTCGGCAAGAAACAAAACTAATGGCGTCGAGAACACGAGAGCTAGGAAAAACGTTGGCGGAAATCACAGGACTTAGAGGTGGCGGTTATAGTGTTCCTCCTCCCGAGATGACGTACGTCCAAAATCCTAACTCGCCATAATAGAAGAGCCCAAGCGCGGATTTTGGGATTTTCGATTAAATCGGCGCGGCAGAATAACATAAGGGGGGCAACCTTGCACCTTGTGAAGTACTTCTACCATACCTGAGCCCTATAACGTCTAGGGCAGCAAAAAATGTTCTACAGTGGCTTTTGTCATCAGTCTTTTGAATCGCAGCTGTTGGAGAGTTCTCTCGGAAGCTAACAAATTTACAAAATACGTTTGTCCATAACGTGAAAATGTCGTGTGTAAATCTAAAGAGCTATAGTTGGGTATGTTAACTGTAGTTGACTAATCATTGTCAAATATTATACCTTCATCACAAGTGACGAAAATGCTGCTATATGCAAAGAAGAAGCTTACGAACGAAGAGATATACTTACGAACTTTTAAACTTTTTAAATCAATAATAATTTCATTCTAAGAATATGATAATAATTTAATTCGTATATTTATTTCTTATGATAGGATATGATTTCGTAGCTTCGGCTGTCTGACCTGGTAACTGGCTGGTTTAACCAGTTTCCTCAAGGTGAACTACGGAAATAAATTATTGCCCTTGGTACACCCAGGTGAATTATGTAGGTGGACCATGGGCAGAGATATCGTCTAGCTTTATTTTAATCGCTCACCGCTTTCAACTTGCACCAATTGATAATTTATGGACGAAAGCTAGGACAGCGATGCGCAATTAGCCCGCGTAACGAACGCTTGAAATAAATATCATTTCTTGATTAATTCTACACTGATTAATATCTGGACATTATTCATGCAAGGATTTCAGTTACCTAAAAGCCGCAGTGATAGATCCGTAGTAATCCTTAAATGTCCCTGGTTATCATCTTAAAAGATCAGTATGATAAATCGCATAAGTTAACCGATGCAAAATTAGGCCCCAATTTTTTAAGGCAACAATATTTTTACCTAAGTTTAGATTTATCACAAATGTGTAATGCGCTCATAATAAAATCTATATCCATGTAATATTTGTCGTAAAAAGTAGTAGTCTGTAAAAATTAATCAACAAATTAATGTTTATCTTAAATTATAAGTCATCGA